ATAAAAAAAAAAAAAAAAAAAAAAAAAAAAAAAAAATTGTACGGGCCCCCTTACGTACGAGTAGCGTACGAATACAAGAGTACGAATCCGTACTCGTACGAGGGTGCGTACAAGTGGCAACGTAGTTCTGAATAAATCAAAGAGACCAAAAGTGTTGCAAAGATTCACAATGATATATTCAGTTATTTCAATATATGCATGGCAAGGAGAATGGATATGCAGTCGACCTAATTGTCTAGTGGGCGCCATATTAAAATCCCCTGCAATGATGACAATAATACCTACAGGGAGACGAGTCAAGAGGAATTTGAAGAATGTCTGTCGATCACGTACTTCGTTAGGTTCATACACACATAGGATACCTATCATTTCCAACTTCATCATAACAAGCATGTAGGCTCATCTTCCCTCCGCTTGATCCATCGGCCAGTATATAGAGTCTACTTTAGAGTCCGGGGGAATCCAAATGAAAACTCTTGCACTCCCTAGTCTAGGAGTGTGGACTCTGTAAGCTTCATTAGGCCAGATTTCCTTATGACAGTGATGGAGCGCCTCATTATTAATAAGGTGAATTTCTTGGATACAAATTACGTAAGGTCATTCGCGACCATCTATACCCCGCACGTGATCATAAGTAGCATGTTTTTTGTTTTGTTTGGCTGAGGGCCTGAGACTAATCCATTCACATTGAGGGAATGCAAATCCAAGTCTGCATTACGATGAAACAATTTTTATTTTTTATCTTTATTATATAATGCATCCAGTAACTTGATCTCATTCATTCCTTTTATTTCAGCAACCTATTTCTACCTAATTCGTTGCTATGCGTAAACCTAATTTAAATGAACGGAAAATGTCAAAGGTACTCATGGCTCATCTACATACCAACATCCACAATACTCCCCGTTTTCATAACTCCATGCATCAGGAGTCTATGTAGGATGATGGCAACATCGTTTTCTTACCTCAATTTGTTGGCCTTTACTTTGAATAACAGCAGCTCCTTCAAGGACTCGGCACCAAACCAACAAAGATTGACTTGTTTCGCAACCTCGTACTTTAGGTAGACGTCTCTTTCTGCAATCCTCTGATTCTCAGATGCTATTGTGAACATGGTTGTACTGCCAGGAGGGATATGGTCCTTAATGACTTTCATTATCTCTAATGTGATGAGAGACTACCCGAGTTTTTCCCCAGTAAAGGCTGAGAGTGAGAGAAAAGAAGACTTGATTCCTTGAATTGTGACCTCTTTGTATAAAGCATCAAACGGTTCCAACAACCCCGCCTCCCAAGCCCCATCCTTGCGCCTAATAAAGAATACTATTGTTCCAGTTTTGTCCAAAGAGTGATTTTCTTGTCCTTTTAATAGCCACTGTCGAGCGCATCGGTCCCGCAGGGGGACCCTCCGGGCCACTTCACGCAGGATTCCATGCAAGTTTTTAACCTTTATCGCAGTGCAATGGAGCTTTCGTCGCCGCTCCGGCCGAGTGCAACAGCCATACCTCTCGCGAACCCCTACGACAGGATAGGGTCATGCAAGGTACAACTTACCTCCACCTGCGGGAGTTGTCACCATCCTTTAGGTGGGCGTATCCTCGCCGAGCTACCGAACCACGTGTGAAAACTAATCAGTTGCACTGCAGTCACAGAGGTGGCCCAACCAAGGGCGCTTCTCGTATGTTGTAGCATAGGGGTATACGTGGTCCCATGCCTCTATAGGACCCGTACGGGAACCGACGCATTGGGGGCTGAAGTCCGAAGCGTGACTCATCGTCGGTCGACTAGCATGCATCCTTCGTACCACTCACTACACCACGCGAAAAACAAAATTCAGATTACTCACACAAAACAAACACTCATAGTCCCTTTAGTATAACTTTTTGACATGGAAATCGGTTAGGCGTTGTGCATGAGACTTAAGATAAAACCGCGTTGACGCAAGGTTTTCTCATCATGATATCGACTAGCCATGCATGAATATGCAAGCAGTCGCAATGCTGACGTACCATGTAGTACCCATAATCACGCGCCCCTCAGTGGTCTCGAGGGTTACGTTCGACACTAAAGTGTCGGCTGACATGTTGTCAGAGGGTGTTGTGTCCTAGCCCTTTGTTGCATAAACCTCCACGGAGTACCAACGGTCTGCAGACCTCAGCAGCGTAACAGTCGTTCACGAACCTCTGCGGTGTGCCTCATAACCTTGGTGATGTACTACTAATCCTGCCCTTGGATTGATCCCCCAAGTGCTCTCACAACAAAGGGGTGAGTGCGTCACCCAAATGCTATTAAGTCCAAAAACTTTTGATCACAGAAAAATTCCCGCGAGAAATGAAAGTTGAAAAAACATTCCATAAAAAAAAATTCTTCATATTTATAAAGTATCATTCCAATGTTTGTCCAATTCGAAAATTTTCAGTTTTATTTGATAAGTTCCCGTCTAAATATGAGCTTCTCCTTCTAAATACATCTATTTGTTCAAGATGGAATGAAAGTCTGGATGAGTTTATGAAATGTTTTAATTAAACTTTCATTCTACTACAACAAGTATCTTCTAATTTAGATTGGATTAACCTATTTATGACTGAAAATCCTTACTCAGAATTACAGTCCAATTAAAATATTTCATGAACTCATCCAGACTTTCATTCTATTTCTAGCATGCAGTTCAAGTAAGAAGGGATACCCCATTCTTGGAAGGAAAGTTCTCGTGTAAGATGAAAATTTTTAAAATTAGAATGACATTTTTTAAGATGGAATGAAAATTTAAAATTTAGAACGTAATTTTACTATTGAATGAATATTTAATTCTGGAAAATTTTTCTATTGCTCGACTTTCCATTGGTCCACGTAGGCTCGGTGCCCTGCTGTACAGAAGAGCACAACCGGCATGTGGCCATAATAGCCATCGGGCTCGCCCAGGGACGGGGAAGTAGAGGGACCAGTGCGATCATTTCTACGGCGCGTCGAGTACTCCCTAACCGAGTTATGGGATGTGTGCAACGACTTACGGTCACAATGGCAATGAGAAGAAACCGAGGACAGAAAAATAAAAGAAACATAAAAGTTAAAAGGGTCGCGTGTTTTATCTGCACCTTGATACGAACCGCCACTTCGCTCAAATTATCTAGTGGCGTCGGGCTGTAGCAACACTATATTTCTTCTTATTTCTTTTTTGTCTTTGCTATTATTATTGTTATTAATATTGTTATTAATATTGTTATTATTATTGTTATTATTATTGTTACTATTATTAAGTTGCATTTTGAAACTTTCCTTTTTTTGTATCGCTTCGAGGGGGGAACAAACGGTTAGTTATTGAACCTTGATTACGAACGAGCGGCCTAGACAGGTCAGGTCTTTCGCATTTTATTTATTGCAGGTGCTGCTTGCTAGACGTTGCGTCGTAAGACCCCCAAAAAGGGGCACCTGCCGCCGTCTTGGTAGGAGGCTTGTCACCCTGTAAGGCGTCATAAGCCCCCTCCTTACCATCGGACACGGGTACCCATCAGGGGTAGTCCGATCACCTCCTTTGAAGGAAGGAAGGCGCCCGCTTGTATCCCGTTATGGGACCATCGCTTCAGGTTTGCAGTCACTTCCCGACAAAATGAAAGGACTCGGGATTGATAACAGAGCATTTTGTTATGACCGTCGGGGTTCGACCTTTCGTTTTTATCTACCCATTTTATTGTTCCTTGAAATTTAATTACTAACAAACGTAATTTGGAAGGTTATTTGAGTCCCTCATTCAGAATATAGGGATCGCGATATGTGGTGATCCTATAAAGGGTGAGGTTGGCGAGTTTTTGGCTACTTTACACAGGCGGCCTCGTTACACTAATGCTGGCAATATGAGGCAGGAAGGCAGAGCGGCGAAGTGAGCGGGCAACAGTCTGTCCAAGTGCGCGTGTGCCGAGTATCAAACCCAAGCTATTTCAGAGTTGGCGGTCTGGTACCGTACACGGTCCACTCAAAAGGGACTCGACTATGGCGCGCAACAATGGTCTTTATGGCTATAGGTCGGACTGTTGGAACCTTATAACGCGTCGGAGACCGATGTTCGGGGAGGGTCCCAGGATTACCACGATCTTAAACTACGACGGGGGAGATGAGGCCAAGTTGAAGCTCAACGTGGAGGGAGCGAGAGAAAAAGAGATGAGAGGGTACCAGAAGTTGCACACATCCGCCACGGAAGCCAAGAACCATGCAAAACCAAGGTGCAAGTGGGACAGTGTTACGGCAGAGGTGCAAGTGGGGATGGCGTACAATGAGGCCGAGACCTCCACCGATACTACAGAAAGAGAGCAGCAACACCTGGACCGAGACTCGGGGGGGGGGAGCAAAATGAGCGTAGCAGAGACTCTAACTTGGCACGAGTTGGGCCAGTGGCGGAGGGACCACCCGTCGGCTGAGCCTATGGAAAACAGCCTAGAGGTCAACTCACGGTGAAAAAGGAACCAAAACCACTAGGCCACTACGAGGGGAAGGTCGGCCACGGCGACGAGGAGGCCAATGCCGCTAGGCTGCAGGGCATGGAGGAGGTAAACTCGCGAGAGGAGGAGCCCGGAGACACGGGCGGTTACGAGAGAAAGCCTTACATGATGATGGAGAATTGCTTTGTCCGGTTGTAGTAGCACTCACCGCGCTCGCTCCTTGGTTTCTCGATATAAAAGTGGATGCAATCAATTGCATCCGCACAACCCGGAAAACCTTTCCTCTCGAAGGCGTCCTCCTAGAGCAACCGTCCACGGGGAAATGAGATGAAACGACCGTACTCCCTGATGATTGTGTCAACCACTTCGGCATTGCTTTGCAGAGCGCTGGCCATACCGATGCCCGTCCCGTGAGCCGACAGTCTGTAGAAACCGCCTGTTGCCCATCGCATGAGTGCGCATGCAACGTCTGTTGTGCAGGCAGCGACTGCTTTCAATTCGTGATCGCGCACTGGATGTGTGGTGCTATCCGTTGGAGAGGCGGTTAACGGAGACCCAAAATTTCGACGTTTTTTTAATGCTATTTATAAGAAAACCAGAAGGCCTTTTTAACCAAAAATTGCATCATTCCATAGACACGCTGCTGCAGGTCTCTCCACACACCTCCACTGCGTTCCAACACCCAAATCCTGCAAGCACCTTCCGCACTTTCACACAAGGAAATCAAGGCCGCTTGCAGCAGAGAAAGGTTATGGCCTACACCAAATGTGAGGACCGTGAGAACAACGGGCAGTCTGGGATCCCACAGCGACAACGATGCTGCCGCTTCCATGATGGCCATGGCTGCTTCATTTCGTTGTTTCATCCATTGGATGACCACGAAAACCACCGTGAACACCATATCGTCCCACTCAGCACTCCACTTCCCCCTGTCCACAATGGCAGCATTCATGGCAGTCGAGTCTTCCATATCCGAGGCACTATTCACGTCACGAGTACACTCTCACACTCTCGCGTATGGCGGCGATCGCCTTTGATGTGGCGGACACCTGCCGTCGCACGTGTATACTCCGTCGGGGGTGTCCGCCACATCAAAGGCGATCGCCTCAAGGTCAACGTGTGTACTCCGTCGTGGGTGTCCGCCCGCGATCGCCTCCCGTAGATCGGCCACGTACGGCGGCAATCACCTTCGATGTGGCGGACACCCGTGACGGACACCCTCACTTTCCTCCAAGCAGCGAGCTACGGCCACAGGACTGAACGCTGGCGGTGTACACAGTGCATGGCGGCCATCCCCTGACACCGACTCTCCATGAGAAGCCCCGCATGTGGCCCACCTGCGGCTGGTACCACAAGGCCTTGAAAGGTGCAGGACAGTCGGACAGTCCCATCGTTCGCACATTCTTACGGTGCACCTGTCCCACAGGTCGGACATCAGCAGGAACAAATCCGGCCTCTGTCGAAACGGGTGAGCCCACCCCTCATTTTCCTGTTCGGGAAAACAAAGCCCGACATTCCTTTTTCTGTAAACGGAAGCGGTGGGAGCGCCAGGCCTTGCGGTCGCAATGGGGTCCCGCCTTCCTTCGGTGGACCGTTCGTGGGAGCCTATATGCGCGGCTTCCTTTTTTGCTTTGCCGCTAGGCTGTGGGTCCCACGGGACGCTAAAATCCACCAAACCCTCCTTCCACCTTATATGACCCAACTGCCCCCTTCCTGTGGGTGACCAACCGAGCGCCCACAGGGCATTTCCCGACTATAGTTTCGAGCAGGTGGATCCTTTCTGCCAACCGGCTTCGCTCAGTTATTACACATTACACACACAAGTGGACCCGCTGCAGCCACGCTGCGGCGCAGAAGAGGGGGCCGATCGCGACCGCGATGGATGGCCCCTGAGCACAGATGACACGCATAAATCGAGAAATACAAAAAAAAAAAAAAAAAAACATGCACACACATACACAAAATTGTCTCGTAATCTTGAAGATTGATTTATTCCCGACCTTCGTTGACTTGCATATCCTCGATCCCCCCTCTCCGACCTCCCTCATCCTCCTCCCTTCCAATCCTCCTCAGGCTGGCTGCATGGCCGACGTGGTAGCCACCATGTGTGCGATCTTATCCACTCCTCTCTCTCTCTCTCTCTCTCTCTCTCTCTCTCTCTCTCTCTCTCTCTCTCTCTCTCTCTCTCTCTCTCTCACGCACTCTCATCTCTCCCTTTCGGTACTGCATTCATGGACTCGATTTGCACATCCCCGATCTTGCGTCTCGCTTGTCATGTTTTCTTTTGCTTGTAGCGCCTTTTTTGCATGTGTTATTGTGCAGGCGGTCCTTGTGCTCGGAGAATAGTTGTGGCTCGCCGAATGATATCCTCTCTGAAGGTGGGAAATAAAGGGAGGGGACGCTGTGATTCTCGATGGTGGAGGAAGATGAGGTCGTTGAGGTATTCCCATATGCGGGGCGGGTGGGAGATGTTGTAAATAGGGAATGTATGGCGCGATGCGAGGAGGTCGTGAATGAGGGCGGTTGAAGTAGTGGCGCCCCACGGTTCTAGTGGAAGCCACCAGAGTGGGGTGGCGTCGTGCGATGTGTGAGGTTGCAAAGGGGCTTTGCGCGGTGGTGGCGCGACAGTGATGAAAGTGTATTTATGGTGCGCTGCAGTGATACGTTCGTGTTGGTATTGCGGGCGGGGCGTCCTCGGCGAGGGCAGACGGTTATAGTCATTGTTGATGAGTTTGAGAAGGAATGTTTTTGCGTGGCGGAAACGGATGTTGATGTCGGGGGAGGGGTCAGGCCACTGTAGAGACTGCATTCGGTTGTGTTTGTAGAGGGCGAAGAAGTCATAGACGTGGGGTGAGAAGGCAGCGTGGTCAGTCGTGCCGAAGTCTTCCCATAGTATCTGTGTGGTGATATGTTCAATGTTGTCTTTGGTTAGTAATCGCAGCCATTCATCCCATCTGACGTACGGGGCAGGGGCGGTGGTGAGCGCAGAAGTAGAAGCAGCAGGATGAACAATTGTGAAAATGGTGAGAGGAGCGGATTGTGGATGTGTTGAAGATAGGCTGCGACAGGAGGAGGAAGGAGACGGGAGTGGGATGTGGGCGAGAACGTCGTCGTCAAAAGGAATTTGGGATAAAGCCGACGCAGCGAAAAGAGTTGCAGTCGCCGTTGCAGTCATTGTGGTAGAATCGAGAGATGATGTTGCAGCCATTGTGGTAGATTCGAGAGATGAAGTCGTTGATGTAGCGAGAAGAGTTGTACTCGTTGTTGCAGGCAGCGTTGCAGATTCGAGAGACAAAATCGTCGATGTGGTGGCAAATGTTGATGTAGAGGGACTTGTCTTTGTAGTTGTAGTTGCAGTCGTAGTTGTTGATGTAGAGACACTCATCATTGCTGTCATCAATGTAGGGAGAAGAGTTGCACTCGTTGTTGCAGGCAGTGTTGCAGATTCGAGAGATGAAATCGTCGACGTGGTGGCGAGTGATGATGTTGAGGCACTTGTCTTTGTAGTCGATGTTGCAGTCGTAGTCGCTGATGTTGAGGCACTTGTCTTCGCAGTTGCAGCAGAAGAGGTTGTGGTGCCAGTTGACGGCGTCGCGGTTGTTGTATTTGTAGGCGTTGTTGTAAGCATTGGTGTTGATCTCGAAGACGAACTTGTTGAGGACAACAGTTTGGACGATGCTTTCGGTTTCTTGTGCGGCGGCTTGTCATCATAGGCACCTGCAAGGCAGGAGCAAATGGAAAGGGAGGAGAGAAGGGGGAATGCGAGGAGCAGAGAAAAAACAGAAGCGGGGCAAACCGGTTAAAAACGGTGTCGAGATTGCGCACTTCCGTCGGTTTCTTTTTCCCCTGTTTCCGAGATGTAGTTTGGAGAAGATGGAGGGTGTGGATTGGTATTGTTGATGGAGGCAGCAATGTGTGTTCTCGTTGTCTTTGGTGCCGACGAATGGGTGGTGTATGTGTGCAGGAGACGGGGAATGTTGTGTATGTCAAGTGTTTGGGAAGGACGTTCAGTTAAGGATTTCTTTGTACACAATGTTGGTTGTGTGGTTAAGCGGGGAGGGCAGAGCAACGCGTACATGGGTAGGGTCACCCACTCTGGATGCAGCGACATAAAGTTGGCCATGTGCAAATGCGGGTTGGTGAAGATCAATGCTAGCATGTTTGATAGATTGGCCTTGGGACTTGTTGATAGTGATCGCGAAGGCCGGGCGAATGGGGAACTGGCGTCGTTGCCACGAGAAAGGGGATGTGATGTCGGTGACCGAGAGCAAGATGCGCGGGAGGAGGACCGGCCGAACGGATGGCAGGATGCGACCGTGAAGAAGTTTGTTATTTGTGACAGAGTCGATAATCAGCCGTGTTCCGTTGCAAAGGCCGTTTCTCATTGCGATATTTCGTAGGAGAATGGCGGGGGCATATTTTTTCAAGCGCAGAATGTGCGGGGGTAGGGAAGGAAGATCCAATGTGTTTAAAGTGTCGATTGGAATATCGAGGAAATCTTCGGTAGGGAGTAGCGAGTCAGCACTGAGGGAGGTGATGACAGGGCCACGAAACGAATCAAGAATGATGTTGTTAAGGGTCGAGACTGATTTGTTTTTGGGTGAGAGGATTAAATGTCCTGCGAGCCATTGGGGGTTTTCAAAATAATGTTGGAGGTCGGGGAAAGTCCAACTGATAAGTTCCGATGTTCCTCCATGGAGACAAAGACGAGCAGGGAGGAGAATGGTATTGGGATGGGTATCAGGTGCATGTTCGATTTCGCCATTCCCGAGTGCAAGGAGCCATTTAGCGTAGTCCCGTCTAGCAGCAGTGTCAATTTGTGTGAGGACACGCATGTTTTCAGACAGATGCATTGTGTGGAAGTGTGGCCACAAAGTGGAAGATTTAATACACGAGTCAATCGTTTGTGCACGTGTACCTTTGGTGACAACGGGGAGTATTTGTCGGAAATCGCCACCTAAGACCACGACTTTGCCGCCGAAGGGAAGGGGAGATGAACAAATGTCTTGTAGGGTTCTGTCTAATGCTTCAATTTGGAATTTGTGTGTCATGGGCGCTTTGTCCCAGAGGATAACAACAGCCATGCGTATAAGTTGTGCAAGTGCAGATTGTTTGGGAATGTCCAAGGTGGAGGTGGCGGCGGGGGTGAGGGGTGCTTTGAATCGAGAGTGGAAAGTGCGGTCTCCGTCTAACAGAGTAGTTGCGATGCCGCTTGAAGCAACTGCGAGTGCAACTTGGTCATGGAGGCGAATGTGTGCGAGTATTGTGTTGAAGCAGAAGATTTTACCTGTGCCGGTGGGCGCGTCGACGAAAACGCAGAGCAGTTCGCTGTTTTCGACAGCACGGATGACGCGTTGGAAGACTGCTTGTTGGGAGGGGCGCAATTGCGGGAGATTGGAGTCAAGGGTGTGTCGAAGTTCTGCTTTGGGGTACGGAATTTCGTCATCGATGATTCGCGGGATGCCCTGGCGTGATGGTCTTTCTGCGAGGTCATTAGCCTGTTCTCTGTCTGCCGGCGGTGGCGGTGTGAGCTCAACATCGTCTAACTCTTTGCCTTCTTTTTGTAAGCGGCTTTCGATGTCGAGGAGGACCAACGCTCTGATGATTGAGGGTGGAACAACTGCGCCGACAAGATTCCTGTGGAAGTCATCTGTCATTTGTTGCCAATGGTTTTCGAAAAACTCATTAGGGTCAGCGAGAGCACAGTGGAGAATGATGTGAACAAAGAGGTCTCAAACCATGGTTGATGGTGACGCGAGGATTGTGTCTTGTAGAACAGCATCGAATTGTGTGTTGTCGTTCAACAGGCCAAGTGCTTTGCATGCGGATTGATATGTCAGATGAATTTCGTTATTGACTGTGCGAAGGCGTTCGAAGCTTGTTGCGCCGCAGGAGTGAGGTGATAGGAGGAGTATTCGGAGGTAGAAGGTGTCTCCTCCGTTCGGGTGGATAGTGTGTATGCGACCAATGGTGTTTGCACTGCGGCTGCGGACGATCCAGCGCTTTGTGGGTTTGTCGAAGCGAAAATGATGGACCATGTCCTTGTACAGAGGTTTTGTGTTATCAGGATCATCCAGATGTGCGGCATTCCATTTGAACCATGTCGTCAGCTCCGTTCCGGGTGCCGGGGTGTGTGCGATGTGCTGAGCTTGGCGGTGGCGAAAATACATGCGTTGTCAGTTCTCAGTATGGACAGGGAGGGGCAAAACAGGAGGGTATCGCTCGGCCATAGGAAAATCAAAAATTCGCCAGCATGATTCGGCAACACCGACTGTTCTCATGTCCTGGTAGGCTTGGATCTCATCTTTTGTGTTTATTGCCTCGGCGACCATTGCTCGGTCCGGCCCTTTGAGAATATACTCGAACATATACCGACACGCGGCAGTTGATGCACAAATCTCAACGTTGAAGTGTGTGCGATACCAAAGGAGCAAGTAAGGGTTGTAAGGGACAACCCAAGAATTGTCAAGGTTGGTGTTACCACGAGCGATGACCAAGCCGCCGTCAGCAGGTGCACGCCGTTTGTAAATCGGGTATCCAGTATCTTCGTTCCACGTTGTGTGGTCGGAGAAATCTTTAGGGAAAAACCGTGTGCAGCGGTCGTTATGCATGCAGGGAGCATGGATATTGTATATGTCACACGGATTGTGGATCATGTGAGTGAGCACGAGTTATTGCAGAGCAGGATTAGTGGGAAGCTCAGAGCAGACCACAACGTCGATTTGCTCAGGGGTGACAATTTTGTGGTCATCTTTTAAAGTGACGATAATGTGGGCGTGCGGCAAACCGCGTTTTTGGAACTCAATGACACATGTATATGTTGTAACAGCGCCGAATATGTGCGTGGATTGTATGTTGCGACTCACTTGCCGCAAATAGCCTTTGAAGACACGTGCAAGAACGTCTGGTCGGTCGGACGGTTGTTGGTTGGGGAAGAGGGCGGTTCGGATTTCGGGTCAGTGAGGGTTACATGTGCAAGTCAAGAAAAGGTCTGGTGCCCCAAATTCTTGGACGGTTGCCATTGCATCTTGGTATCCGCGGTGCATGTCGCGTGGACCTCCGGTGAATGTTCCGGGAAGGACAATTCGCTAACCAACATTTTCGGCATTATCATATTGCATAACATGATCCCAAAGATTCTGGTAGAGGTCGGCACGAATTTTCGTTTGGTGAAGGCAGTTGTAAAGAAGGCCACCATTTTCAATTTTAGCGAATGTCATGCAGACGTATTCTTGGAAAAGGCGGGCTGTGTGGAAGATCGTTGTTCTTTCTTTTTGTCGTGTGTTTAAGTGGAAAGCGTAGAGTTCTTGTGCTGCAGCGGACTGATTGTTTGTTTCGGGGTCGTCATCGGTGTCAGGCGTCCACCCGTCTTCGCCAGCAGGAAAAAGGAGCACATAATGAAGAGGGTCGAAAGCTCGGTTTGTTTCGGCGATTGGGACAACTCCGCCACCACGTTTGCGGATTGTGATTTCTTGATTGGCAGGCTGATCGTGCATAAGAAGACACAGCTCTTTAAGACCTTCAGGTTTGTTGTAACGGCGTTCGTGCTGATCGATCGAACATGTGTCAGGGTTAATCACGATGTGTCGGTCATGTATCATCTCGTCTGGCATTTCAGAAACAGTGATGAAATCATGGACCCAACGGTTGCATGCATGGAGAAGAGCGTGGAACTTTCAGAGAAGGCGTTTGATCGAACGAATCGTTGCGAGGGGGGTTTCGGCGGGAAGGTCAAGACGGCTGAGACAGAGAAGTGTAGCACCGTGTTCGTCTTGCAGATCGTAGATGTAGATTTGTGTGAATGCGGGCTCATGGTCAGCGTCTGGGAGAAGGGGCCCTAAATTTTGATGAAGCCGGCCTTCGATGCGGAGCATACCTGGCCAAGTGCCCGGAGGGTATTGTGTCTCCTTCACAGATTGTGATGCACGTGCGAGGGCGTTGTTAAATTGACGGGAGCGTGAGCGTAAGAGTCGGCCGTCTGCGGTGTCAGCTTCCCACAGGTGGATGATGTCATGCTCCGGCGTTGCAGGTGGAGGGTATTGCCAAAGGGCAGGTTTTATTTTGCCCCGCCTGCAACATAGTGTTGTCCATGCGTGTTCATGCTCCCATTTATGCACCCCACAGTGAGGACAGGTTGTTCTTTCGCCGAGGGTTGCAACAACGATGAGAATGTGTTGGGCGATGAGTACAGCAGTATAAATGCGGGCGGTATTGATGTGCGGGTCAATGCGTTCCATGTGCGTATGTCTGTAACGTTGTTGTCTGAGTATTTGGTGTTGGCGTGCTCGCTCCTCAGCGGCACGAGAAGATTCGGCTATGGCATGAGCGGAGTGCAAAAGAAAGACGAATTCACAAAGAGAAAAGGAGAGCAACAGAACAGGAGAAACAAAAGAACCATGACAAAAAGGAGAAGTGTAAGAGGAAACACCACTCTTGTACACACACACACACACACACACACACACACACACACACACATATGCAAAAAAACAAAAAAAACAAAAAAAAGGAGCCATTGCGGTGCACATCTCGATGATGCACGTGGGGATCAGCGTCAATCTCGATGCTCGAGTGAAGGGTTTTTTGAATTTGCTCATCTGCGGGTTGCTGCCACGGAATGATTACTATTGGCATCAGTACGATTATCACCATCGACATGATGAGCAAAAACGGAAAGAATGTTCCACTGAAAGGCGGAGATATACACTGCGACTTTTTTAGCAAAACCGGAATGCGACCATTGACAGGATAAGGACTGATGATACACAATAGCCATCTTATCTATAGATTGGATAATGAGATGACCAGCCGTGCAAAAAAAGAAAGGGAAAAAAAAAAAGAAAAAAGGTGCAAATTCTTGGGGAGAAAGTGATATGCAATATACGTCAGACCGTTGATCGGGGTCACGGTCTTTCACCCAATAGAACGCGTAGTCATCACAGTTTTATTTGGGGATAATGACTTTGCGTTTTCTCTGCGAGATTAGATGCCCTCTGTCTCTGTCTCTCTCTCTCTCTCTCTCTCTCTCTCTCTCTCTCTCTCTTTCTCTCTCTCTGTCTCTCTAGAAACAGAACACAGAGAGCAGATCACGGTCTGAAGTCGGGTTCGGAATAAAAGAGAGAGAGAGAGAGAGAGAGAGAGAGAGAGAGAGAGAGAGAGAGAGAGAGAGAGAGAGAGAGAGAGAGAGAGAGAGAGAGAGAGCATGGTGGCCGGCAGGGATCCCGANGAGAGAGAGAGAGAGAGAGAGAGAGAGAGAGAGAGAGAGAGAGAGAGAGAGAGAGAGAGAGAGAGAGAGAGAACATAGCGGATAGCAGGGATAGAGAGAGAAAGACGGTCGTGGTGAGGATAGAGAGGAGATGGGGGTCTAAACTCGGGGTCGGGATAAGAGAGAGAGAGAGAGAGAGAGAGAGAGAGAGAGAGAGAGAGAGAGAGAGAGAGAGAGTGTACGGTGGCTGGCAGGATTTTGGACAGAGAGAGAAAGAGAGAGAAAGCATGGCGGCTGACAGGGATCCCGTCTGCATGCTGACGTGGCAACAGGCATGCCACGTTATCACTGTTTGCATGAAGTCTTTTTTAGTGTTTTTTTTTTTCCTTTTTCAAATCTGTTTCTCTTTCTCTCTCTCTCTCTTTTTCTCTCTTTTTCTCTCTCTCTCTCTGTCCTTCTGTAGAGAGAGAGAGAGAGAGAGAGAGAGAGAGAGAGAGAGAGAGAGAGAGAGAGAGAGAGAGAGAGAGAGAATATGACGGCTGGCAGGGATCCTGATAGAAGATGGGGTTCTGAAGTCGGGGTCGGGATAAGAGAGAGAAAGAGAGAGACAGAGAGAGAGGCAGGGATCCCGTCTGTATGCTGACGCGGTAATAAGCATGCCACGTCATCACTGTTTGCTTTTTTGGCCACGTGAACCTGCAACATGCGGGACGTGACAAAACCTTCTTTTTTTTTCATCACAGCTTTATTTGGGAATAACGATCTTGTGTTTTTTCTGTGGGATTAGATGCCCCCTCTCTCTCTCTCTCTCTCTCTCTCTCTCTCTCTCTCTCTCTCTCTCTGTGCAGGAGGAGAAAGTCGGGCGGAAGGGGGAAGGCGATCATATTGCCAATATTGTTTTTGGAAGATAATCGAAGCAAAAAAATTTCAGGCAGAGAGGGGGAGAGAGAATTCGGTTCTTTGTTTTTTTTGTTTCGTTTTTTTTAATTTTTGGGAGTTTTGTTAATTTTTGCACAGGGCACGCGTGTTTGTCTGTGAGGGGCATGAAGAAACGCTGCAAATATTGCAACAATTAGAAATATTTTTTTTTCTGGCAAAGAATGCAAATCATACAATTTTTTTTTTTTCGCGCGAAGAACGGAAAGTACATAATTTCGACAAACAATTTTGTTGCGGTTCCTAGATAGGACTTATCGGAGCGGCAGGAATTTTTGCACAGACCACGTATGGTTGTCCAGCATTGGCTCCTATGTCACATCGGTATCCCAATTTCCCCTCTCTCTCTCTCTCTCTCTCTCTCTGTCTCTCTCTCTCT